CTTTGAGCGCTATAACGGCTGGGGAGAAGAATGTGACGCACCAAAAACTTGGACTTCCAGATCACTTAGGCTCCACAAACTCCATGTTGTCACCTTGAGTTGGTGGAAAAGAAAAAGCGGTGGTGGTGAAGCATGGCAGGAGAAGGATTCCGGGAGAAGAATGCGAGGAAACATAGGATAAAATGGTCGAGGAAAGGAGACGGATAACGGACAGTAATGCAGCTAAAAACACCCGAGATACTTACAGATCGGGCTAACCCTGGCATGGACCTGATTACTCAGCTAATATATCACTCATATACAACTCATATATTATATTGCTGATGCGTTGCAAAAAAATTGCGTAGTGACAACCTTTTCGGAATCAGCTGTAAACTGTAACGCGGTGCCAAATGCATCAGTGGGCGATTCCGAGAGCGTAATCTTATGCAGGGTTGGAGATTTGGAGGTTCATGTCGCCTTTCAGTTCGAGGGATTGGAGGCTGCTGTCACGCGTCACGCGTCACGGAGGGAGATTGAGATTTGTTCCCTGCTGCAAATAGATGAGTCCGATTTAGTTAAAGGCGTAAAATTGTAGTACCTCTCAGCCTCAACCTCGGGAACACGTCCCCTCCCACTCGCTCACTGCCTGCGTTGGTTTTGTCGGCTCTGTCCTCTCCTCCACCCCCAAGCCCGTGGTAGCCAACACCTCACCCCCAAGCGCTGCGTCCAACAACTCTGCCTGCTTCGTCTTCTTCGCCGAGCCAAACTTCATTCCGCTCCCCTTGAACGCGGGGGACTTGGCTGCGAGAGTCGTGCCACGGATGATGGAAGAGGGTTCCACGTGCTCAAAGCAGCGGATAGGTGAGTATCCTGAGTTCCGCGGCCTACTCCGAGATAGGATGCACAAGAGTAGAAGAGTGAACCACCGATGGGGCGTCGTTGTTCGCGAAGCTGCATTTCGCGTCGATTGAGTTCTTCTTTTGCTTCCACCTCTTTGTTCTACGTGCACAGCGTTAGTTTAGTACAAGTGACAGAGAAGAAAACCCACCCTTGCAATTATTTCTCAAATCTTTTCCTCATAGCTCTCCATATCCGGGACACTCCTAACCAACTCCTAACCTTCATCAGCTCTCTGTAACCCCAACAACCTCGTCGAATGCTCGGAGCAGCTCAAACGCTTGCAGATACAACGAATCCCTCGACTGCCCCGCATACACGGCCGTTGATACGGTAAGCTGAGTCCGCACCTCTTGATTTGCATTCCCAACGAATAGAGTCATTGTTGAGGTCACGTGAGAAAGTGACCAGTCGAAATTCAAATTCGGCCCCCAGTTCATACTTTCCTCACCAGCTCATCAAAGGCCTGTTCGTCTTCCTCCTTTTCGCCAGTCTATTTGGTGAGAACGGCCATTGGACCCTCTCACTCAAAAATGCAACCATCATGTATGTATTACGACCAAGTTCACATCCATCACATCCATTTCGCCGCTATCAAACCGAATAGCTGACGAAGCCCGAGGTTGCTGAAGTATTTCAAGCGAAGCATTTCACCAGTCCCTCACAATGCTCCTCCACCTCCGAGTCCACCTATGCGCACTCTTCCTAGCTCTCTCCCCACTAGCTTCCCTCGCAGCACCACCTTCTTACGACCACCCTTCTCAAACAGTCCTATCCCAAGCCGCCTTATCCGACATCCTATTCCGGGGCTTACCCATCCTCGGTTCGTCGCTTTCAATCCTCCCCTTAACTTACCCCATAAATCCTATGTAGGACCCGACAATGGATGCTCGAAAACACTTAAAACATGCGACTGGATGGCCAAGATCCCCGACAACACACCACTGGTCCGGATGAACCTCCCCGGGACACACGATACCTCTACCTGTCCTTCCCTCCCCTCTCTGCCTTTTTTCCTACATAGCTAACCTCGTGTACTTGCCTACTAGGGAACTACTCAGCCACAACACAAGCCTCTCTCACTTGGGTACACGGGCCCGTAAGCTTTTCTCCCCCGCTCCCTGTTTCTGTTATGCAACTCACCCCCGGGCAGCCTCCCACCCGCCTACCTCTTCCGATGTCAAGAACGCTCGCTCCTTCAATCTCTTAACGACGGTATACGCGTGTTCGACCTCCGCTTCGCTTATAATCCAGGCAATGATACTATTGGGTTTTACCACTGTAAGCCCCTTCTTCCCCTCTTCTCCCTACTCTGGACTTACTTATGTGTGTATGATTCTATGAAGCTGCAGCACTGTTGGCACCCACCACGACCATGACCGACGTCTTTTTCGGGTTGTATCAATGGTTGAACAAACACCCTACCGAGGCCGTCCTGGTGTCGATCAACCATGAAAGCGGGACTGGTACTCCATACGACGCAAAGATCCAGGAGATGGTGTATGATATCATCAACAGCGATATTGGGAACACGTATTGGGTCCAGACAAGCGGGAGTGTACGTTCTCTTCTTCTTTTCTACTACTTCGGCTGTGTGGTGCTTAATGGAAACTACTATAGCTAGGAACGCTTGGACAAGCACGAGGAAAACTAACCCTCCTCCAGCGATTCACATTCGATCTCTTACCCGCATACAAGACCAAACGGATCGGTATCCAACTTGACCCAGGTCATTGGACGGATAACGGCAAGGCTATTGAGTTGGTGTATAACGCTGACAAGGGACTAACCGCGTTTATCGAGGTTTGTCTCCCCTCCCTTCTCTTCTCTCTTCATCTGAAACTAATCTCTCTCTGGTAGGACTACTACGACTCCTCCCTCCCACTCACATCCAAACCCTCCCAGTTCATCGAAGAAAAATTCGGCGCAACGACGGCCCAGCTTGGTAATGCGACCCTGTTTAATCCCGATCAGCTGTATATCTCGTTTGCGAGCGCTGCTGCGATTGTAACAGGCGTGGTCAAGGTGGATATGACGCCTAGGGTGGGTTGTGGCTTTTCTTTGTTGGCTTTGGGTTTTTGCTTCTGTCTTGGTTTCGTGGTTCTTCTTTTCTCTCGTTTTTTTCTCTCTCTTGATCCTCGTTTCTTATCCCCTCTTTTCTTTAAATCCCCTACTTTTGCTCCTCTCTCCCTTCTCCCGTCTTCACGTCTTTCTTGGTTTCTTCCCTCTCCTTTCTCTCCACGACTTCATGTCTTTTTTCACCTTGACTTTTGCCTTTTTCTCTGTCTCTCGATTTTTTTCTGTCCTCTTCTCTCTCGATCTCCCTTCTCCCCTCTTGGTTCTTCTCCTCCTCTCTCGTCCTCTTCTCCCCTCTTGAATTCTTCTCCTTTTGTCAGCACGCTGACGTAAACCCAAAGATGTTCGCCACCGGGAACGGCACCGACACTCTAGGGATGAACCAGAAGTTGCTACCGTGGTTAAAGGCGAGGAAGGGAAGCAAGTTTGGCATCATTAGTGAGTCCTTCTACTTTTGAACGTCCTTACTTGCCTATTAGAGGGCCCTTGTTCTCGCTGTATTTTCAATTGTCCTTCTGCGTTTTATTGCAATACTAAGCTGACACGTTGAACAGTGCTCGACTTTTACGATGCCGTTCCAGGGCTCGTGGAGGCCGTTATTGGCCTTTGATAGACGGAAAGGGCTACAAACTACATGCAGATGTGTAGGATAGGGCCCGTCTTGGACGGAGTCTGTGCTACCTTACGTGAACAAGTTCAAGGACCGATTGGATTGGGCAATGACATTCCGCCTGCAGAGCCCCAGATGAGGGTTGCTCGTCGTAGGACGTGATTTCATGTGCGGAAAGGATTGTGCGAATGCCGAAAATCTTTATCTCAAGCTTTGCAAGAGAGTCTTATAAAAAGGATCTTCTTGAATCTCAGATCTTCATGTGCAGAGACGACTCAAGACTATCTTGCCCAAGGGACGTCAGATCCACCGATTTCGACCGTTGTTTACATCTGTTGGGGGGCCTCTCCTCCCACCTATTCAGGAAATGTCGCACGACACGGCCAACAACGGCTTTTGCTCATGGCTTGAAATCTCGACGTGTTCTAATCTACGAACGCGTCTCCCAAACTTGCGCGATTTCCTTCGATGTATGGCCGACTAACACTGTACAGAGTCTACCAAACTCTCAATCTATGATTGTAGTACTCTATTACATTTTTCCAAGCCCAACTACAACGGGTTACAAGAATTCTCTTAACCTCTCTACGCCTTTCGCTTTCCGTGATAATTGAACAAGGTTGGGCATTCCAGGAGGTAGACATGGTTTCCATGCTGTTGCCCCGAACGGCTCAGCTGCACACCCTTGAATACTTAGCTCACCTGCCACCTGCTCTACCTGAACATATAGATGCCTGTTCTCATTGTGGTTGTCTTCATGGTCCACTTTTTCTCCATTCCAAGTTGCTTTCTTGAGGGATTTGTATTTCGTATGCAGGTTTGATATAGATTTGTGCCTCTCTGTCCTCATTGAAGCTGTTTTTGACGGTTCAATTGTGCAGGACAAGCTAAGTAGTGGTGCACCGCCGAGAAGCCGTTATCCTCGCTTGACTTGATGCCGACCTGTTGCCGGCTATCGGAAATCACCGATCAAAAGCCCAACATACGGTCGAGATCGGTGGATCTGACACCCAGGTCTGTCTTGATTCAAAGGATGACGTCCACCCGCGTGGACTCCCCCCCCGCACATAACGCTACCCCCAAAGACTTTCCTGACACCAGAGCAAGATGGAGAAAATTCTCTGTTCTCGACTCTGCAGACGTTCAGGAAAGCCCTCTGTACCAAGGGGGTGGCGGAACGTGGATCCCGGATATAGGGTTGGGGGGGGGGGCATCTGCCGGAGGCCTTAAATTTTTTTGTGACCTTCTAATAAAAAACATTCAAATGGTCTGCAACACTGCCAGAGCACCCTTGAAGCTTAATTTAATAAGTTGCACACATATCCGGTCAGTAATTTTTGATAGAATCTCAAAGTCAGATGGAAAAACATGGATAGAATTGAGAATAGCTTCTACAGCGAAACAAAACAAACTGTCTACTTTGCATAAATGTATATACTGCCCAAAAAGACGAGGAGATGACCAAGCGCTTCTCGGCCCCTCGTCGGCCAACAGCCTTGAGGCCAGCATACGTGAGAGTCTTGATGAGCCGCATGTACTACTGCTCAGCCTTGTGCACGTCCTGACGTGTGTGGCGTTTACAGATGTTTCCTGGGCGCGACACTCTGAAGGCGATGGAATCGATGTCAGGCGCATAGGTAGTTGGCATGGCGCCGGGCCAGTCGATGACTTTGATGAATGTGGAGAACCACGGAAGGTTGTCGCTGTCATTGGTGAAGGACGTTCAGAGGTGACGGCTGCCAATAGCCAATGGTTCCTTCTAAAAAAAACATAGGAGGGTGGGAAGAACATACCGGATTTGGGGGGTAAAGGGAGGGGGGGGTTGAAGACTTGGGCCTTAATTTCTTTTGCGACTGTATATCCAAATTCCACGTTCCGCCACCCCCTTGCTCTGTACATGCCTTGGTCGCTAAGATCTTGAGTGGACGTCTGCGTAACCGTTTTGGCATAGAGCATGTGCCACGACTCAGAAGATATGCGCCGCGATGCTATCAGGCCAGGTGTTGAAATGATCATTACCTAAAATTCCACCGGAACTAAAGATACAGTTATGCACGTGCTAATGTTACACTGAATTCGCAGACATGAAATAGCAAGACAAGGTGAACATATTTTCGAACGAAACAAAGACAACATGATAAATAGGTATGCTACGCACAATCTGCAATTTATTTGAGGTAAAACGGAGAGGAATTGCGTACATAGTGAAACAAATGGCGGAGAGGCGACCCGAATAGCAATTATGGGCCAATGTTACACATGCCGTGATTGTCGATAAGATCAGCTGATGGGGAGAGATTTACTCGTCGTCATCGTCGCTCGCACTGCCCTCACTCCCCGCTTCATCACCGTCACTGCCAGCATCATCCTCAGCTTCACCGGCATCTACAACACCAATCCCACCATCCAAAAAGTCCTTCAACTTGGGCCTAGGAATCGCTTTTGGAAGGGGCGTCGATTTTGGCTTTGGTTCGGTAAATTTCTTCTTCTTCTTGACTGCTGCAGCCTTCCTATTGTCCCAAGCCGCTGTGGTTTGCGTGTTGTTGGCCTTGATAGCATCCCGTTCATCCTTCGCTCCTGATCTGCTGCAGCCCACACTTCCACTGCTGCATCATAGGCAACCCGTCCTTCCTTCCATGCCTCCTTTTGCTTCAAAACCTCACGCACCTCCTTCTCCTTGGCCTGCATGAGCTCATAGAAATTGTTGCCACTCAAAAGCTTGGGGAGCCCATTGCCAACAAGCTTGATACCCTTTTTCTTCCCCCGCTTTTCTTCCCTTGCCTCTAGTGCTTTCCGAAGCCTCTCGGTATATGCCTCATTCAGAATGTTGGAGGCCTGGAGCTCGAAGGCATGTATCTCTGCATGAGCATTCCGACTCTCGGCCTCACAAAGTGCTGCAAGGAGGAGGAGCTCATTTGATGTTGTGGGTTGGATAGTCAATGCGGCAGCTGTGGTGTTTGGGATGGCGGTAACCTGGGCCCTCGTACGAGGGTGGTTTTGGGCATAGGATCGGAAGATGCTGTAGTCATATGGGTGGTGAGATATGCAAGGTTGGTCTTCTTGAGGGCGGCAACAGTGTCCTGGAGGATCTCAAGATGAGTGGGTTTTGTTGATTGAGTGGGGGGTGTGGTTGTTGATTGTGTTGGGGGTGTGGTTGTTGATTGCGTTGGGGGTGTGGCTGTTGATTGTGTGGGGGTTGATGTTGGTGGACTTGATGTGTGGTCAGGTGAATGTGGGATGGTTGCGCGTGCAGCTGAGTGCGTTGTACGCGTGATTGTTGGTGTTGGGATGGGGTTGGTTGATTGTGTATGGTGAGTGGTTGGATTTGACGTTGACGTGGACGGCCCAGGTGCATCCGCTCTCACGATACTTTCCCGCTCTTCGGCCAGGTGGGACTCTGATTCTTCTGGGTCTTCGGAATCTGATTCAGCCTCCTCTAGATCTCGAAGCCTGCGCAACATGTCTGCAAAAATCTTTGCTGCATCGGAAGTTTCGACAGGCAGGTTTGCCTCAAGGGAGGTTTCCTTACTTGGAGCGAGCATGTCTGAAGTCACAAGTGACGACATCAGGATTGAAGGGATGGATGCCAGTCTTGTGAAAGGCAGTTTTGATATTTCCGGGGGTGAGTGCCTGTACATATGCATTTGTGATGACACTGAGAAAATTTGATTTGGTGATAGCTGTGCCGGTATCCCGCAATAGTTTGTTGCGCTCCTTGCTAAGAAGAAGCTTGAGAATTGCAAATATTACAACATTGAGACCTTGGTAAATATGGGTGCCATGTGCTGGGTAATAGAGAACATTGATTTGATGGAGGCATGCAAGTAAAAGGAAGGTGATGGTGTAATGTGAGTTGTGGCCATCAACAACGAGTAAGCGGTGCTCCCCATTTGCCTTCACATGTGTTTGTTCTTCGAAAATCTTCATCCAGGCTGCACCGATTTCACCATCTGTCCAGCCTTTCTGCTGGTAGCCAATCCTAATCTTGGATTAGCAATGGCTACATGGATAAGCCCTCAAGTTACATACGATGCGTTCAATGGATTATTTTCTCCCCATTTGACCTGATATGCATTCCCCTTGAAGATGGCGGCAGGAGGTGTGGTTGTTCTGTCGGCGCAGATTGTAACTATAACAGTAATATTGTCTTGAGTTCCAGCACGCTGTTGATAAGGAGCAGCCTTTTTACGGGTGCCGAAGACGTACTCGCATTCACCACCTCCCTGGGCTTGTATCCCCACCTCATCAGATCCATAAATGTTGTGCGGCTTGATGTTGTATTTCTTGATGGTTTCACCCAGTAAGTTCCACCAGGCTTCGTTTGTGTGAGGGTTGGCGGCACGCCCACGCTTGTCCTCAAGAGGGCGAGAGTGGGCGATCTTGATCTTCTCCGTGTTCTGTTGGGCAAAGCAGTAAGTCCAGTTCTGACCAACACCTGTCAGTGGGAACTTGTTGCCAAGACGCGCTTTGCAGATGCTGTCAACGTGTTCCTTGAGCCGTGCATGACTGAGAGGGAAGCCTCGATCAGCTATTTCAGCGATGAAGGCAATCACAATGTCTTCTTCGCCATCACCAAGCCATCTTCAGTCCACATTGGCCTGCTGACAAGTTTTGCCACCTCGTACTAAACGTTTTAGTGTCATATGGCAGAGTTTAACATGGTTGCCTGTCTCAACAAAGCATGTATCTTGTAATTCAATGCAAATGTGGCGAAGACCCTGGCAGGGGGTTGATTTGGAACTTTTCCGTGTCTGTTCTAAGCGGTAGGCAGAAATGGCCTGGAGCATCCACACATCATGGAGTCGCTTGGCAGCAAGATGTTTTGCAAGGTCAGATTTCGCTCAACCAGCCATGGAGAATGTCTGGGAGGGTGTTGGAGAAATTTCTAAGTTGTTGGGCAGTGTATATGAGTCCGTTGAATGAGCCTCATTGCAGCTGCTAGGCAAATCTCATGAGAGCAATCTACTGTGCTAAACTCTTGCAGGCCTTCTGAAACTTGTTCCAGGCATTGAGGTATGTTCCATCTACATGAATAACAAGAGTTTGGACATGAAAAACATGTTCTTTTTGTGTAGTCAATCAAATAGAGTTCAAAACATCGAAATTGGCACATCACATTGATAGATCAAGCAAATTTAATGAGTACTAAGGGTTTTTTTGTACGCACAAACTTGATAACCTATTTTACATTACATAGAACTATTGATTGCGAGAAAAATCAGGTCAATAGCTACATCTATTCACACAGGAGAGCGCAAAAACTGTCAAAGTGTAACATTGAGTGATTACGTAACATTAGCCGGTGGATGACTGTAAGTCTACCACATCTGAGTCTTCAAAGCTTTAAGTCCGAGTTCGGAAGAAGAAGTCAAATATTCTTGCTCGTCGAGAGCGAAAACAGGGAAATCGACCATAAATATATAGTGAGGTCCGTTAGGTAAAGGTGCACCTTTTTATGGCCCCTAAATGCAAGCCCGTTGTTCCCCGCTACATATCGTATTACTTTATTCACTTGGTTCTTGATCAGACTGATGTCGTTGTTCGGAAAAAGCCGATGGTGGATGATGAAATTCGCGAAGCTGATTGATTCAAGTTGGATTCGAAGTTGATTCGAAGACAACATCGCTCAAATCTCCATTCATCGAAGTAAGATCCTGCCTCCCCACTTTCAACAGTCAGCGTCGCCACTAGAAAGATGGCCGCCCCCGCGTATACTGGGATAGACATATCTGAGTATGTAAGTGATCATGATGGAATCGTACTACGCATGCCATCCCGGTCGCAAGTTTCTGAACAAGTGATGCGCTCACTCTCACGTGTAGCAATCACTCTATCGTTACGTACATAGACATTTCCACACAACGTAATTTATCTATTTAGGTCACTCGTACATACCAACACCAATTCACGCGTTGTCATTCTAAAAAACTAATATAAGGCATCGTGATAGATTCCATCTGCTCCAAAAATCGGCCATCGCTGCAGAAGCAAAACCAGAGTCAAAGTGTATCATAATTTTTGGAATCGGTTTTCTGGTTGGCCAGCATCCAGGTCAACGTGTAGGTCCGTAAGACCATCGGAACACGATGATCGATGCCTTTTGGCGTATTCTCGAATATGGAGCACGACCCTACTCGTTAACAATGAATGAAGTACGCGTTCCACACTTGACTTGATCAGGCATTTTGCACGTAGAGGCAGAACATAAACGTACGAGGAGATAACCGCAAAATACTCTGTCTGCAGAAATTTAGTTGTGACTTTGGTTCTCACACAAAGACACAATGTATCGGCTTACATAGAGCGCGCGCACGACTACGACGTTGACTATTGAAAGGGCTTTTGCTCCCTCAGCACAAAATGAATGCGTCGTTCCGACCGTCGCTTACCAAAAAGGTAGATATACATTATTATTCCTATGTTTGAAGGAAATTTAGATACATCTCTTTCAGTGAGATTCAATATCTTACCGTCGCGATATATGACGTGATGCAGATCAACACTCCCTCCTCGCCGATCTGGAAGGGCGGCTTATGAGCAAGCGGAAAACTAAATAATGTATGGGTCTTACAGGAAGCCATTCCAGGAATTATCATCAAGACCAGTATTACTGGGAGGCAATTATGTGCGCATGTCGTACACCAAGATAGAAATGAATGCTTACTAGCGTCGTAAATCATGAATACAACCCAATCCAAGTACAGGATGTGATTCGCACTGGTGAGAAAGCAACCGACAAATTTTGGGTATGGCTTTGTACTAACTTGACACGGGGTGTCAGTTGCGGTGAGATAACAGTCAAATATGGCAGATGGTGGACATACATTGTAGGTCGCGAAGGAAGATTCTCATCACATATATCTCCGCCACGGTTGTGAGCGTAATTAGGGATATTAGAAAGACACCCATATGTCGATCTCGTTTCCATACTGCCCATACGCGCAGGGTCAAGATTACTAGGAACAGCCACCATTGGGGAGGTCAGATATTATAATATAAAATGAAGGGAATTCACACCTTCGGACAAAATAAAGCCAAAAATCATCAACCCTATGATATGATGAGCCAAACGACCAGTTTTAAACAAGAATGCGTACATCCTCGTATCATTTCAACAATACGGCAGCTATCTGGGTCGATGTTTACTGCCAATTGGTCTAAGATAAAATGGTGAAATGTTGTAAAGAGAGAGAGAGAGAGGTATTCCATGTAGGCTACTCACGAGTCAGACAGAGAAAAATCGCGTCACAGAAAGGCAGATATCGCTGAACGATATAAAGCATATTCACAAACCCCCATGGCGATGACCACACAAACTCAATCTCCATCCCCAACGTCAGTGAGCAGTCGTATACCAATAGCATCGCCGCCGCAACTGCGTCGAAGACTCATAAGCTCTAGAAGCTCGAAATCGTCCTAGGCTGCTTACCATCGAACGACTGTTTTTCTTTCGTTTGAGAGGAAGGAGGTTTTTATAGACAGTAGATACGCACCGTGGCAAGTTGTTCAGCAGCCACATAATGTATGAGCTGAGGGAGCGCCGCCATGTCTAGGGAATGAGTTCTCCTCAGTGCCTTGACGTGATATAGCTTGTCAGAAGAAGTGGGTGACACTAGCGTCTGTTTTTAACCCTGGTAGAACTTCGGAGAAGCTGCGTATCAAGGCCCGAGGTCAAGCCGAGGTACAACCCCAGACTGAACGTCGTTATGTTACCACCCCTACATTTCAAAAGTCAATTTTGCATAATTTGAATCATGAAATGGAGAGAAACATGGACTCAGTTTGGTTCTGTCACTTTGGCAAAAACCGATGCAATGAAAGATGATACGCGCCGAAGCCACTGAGCCCATGCATGCCGATTCGGGACCACTAAATATATGACAGC